GTGGGTTTTACAGAGTCAAATGTAAGTTAGAGATAAATAAGGACACTTTGTTATGTTCAAACTCTTTTACATTATCCATTAATTAAGGTGGTATTTTCTTTGTTTGTGTGTGTGTAAATTCTTTTATTTTATCATTTTTGTAAATTTATTGCAGCCTTTATTTTGTGAGAAAATTTGTAAAAATATTCTAATAATTTGATGTATTTTGAAAAGTAACCTATGTTTTGAAAATTTTGAAAACTAACTTTATTTACATTGAAAATTATAAATATATCATAAATAAATCAGATCTATAAATTATTTGTAATAATCAAAAAACTAATCACATGATTTTAACTTATGATGTTAATAAAAAAAAACAAAGACACATGATTTTCTATGTTTGACGGAATTTTTGGTCTTCTTAAAGCATATTAATTTTCATTTCCTTACTCTATGTTTATTTATTGCTTAATGTTTAGTTTAAATTTATGGTGTGATTTGGAATTTTTGTTCTTTTCTTCTTTTGTTGGTTTTATGATTTTTAATGTCTCATTTTTAATTTATTGAATATGATTTCTAGAACTTCTCGCAAATCTTATCATAGGTTTTCTACTACCTTTTTTTTTATCTGTTTTGATAATTTTAGTTGTGTATAAAAAGATATGAAACTAGCATCACTATATTAAAATTCAATCAACATATTTTTAGCCTTTAAGAATATGATCGATTGATTATAATAATCTAACGAAACTTACAAGGATGACTAAATAACAAAATGTATTTAGTCCAAATTTAAACTAATACTAAAATAACTCAATTTCCCACAAAAATATATATTAAATTTATTTTGATTTAGAAAATAATCTTTTAATTTCGAAATATAAATGTATGTTTGATTAATTGTAAAATCTCAAATGAGGATATTAGTGTGTGTTTTATCCATGAAAAAGGTTATTTTACAAAAGTTTCAAAATATGGGTTAGTTTTCAAATTTTATAAAATTTTCAGAATATTAAACCAAATCACCCTTATTTTGTTCAGTGCAATGATATCTCTTAGATTGCACGATTTATTCATAGAGATTAGTATGACCAGAAAATGCGGGATATTACAAATCGAGATTGGTGGATCTAACCCCAAAATATATATCTACAAAATAGGAGGAAAATATATTTGATTTGTTACTATTTTTGGACAACCGAACCAGTCGTCCTGAGACATAAATTTTAAAAAGAAAATAAAATTGTCGGTTTGATAATTCCGAATTTCCGATTGTTTGATTAAATCAAAATTTGGAGGCCCATTAAAGCCCAATAGAAATGGGCTAATTCGGGAGTCACCGGTCGAACCGGAGATACATCAGCCTTGGCATAAGCGTTGTCATTTTCTCAATCGACTCAAGACTAATTTCTCCGATTCTACGCGTTTTATTCATTGATCAGATCGGCCATGGAAGACGAGGTGATTTCCCGTTCC